TCCCTCCAGGCAAGCTGCTGGAAAGGCAACAGTCTACTCTGTGTTCTGCTTACTAGAGACAGAGCTAGGGAGGGGGTCTGAGGTCTGGAAATGGGATATATTCATGTTATCCACCACTGGTCTTCCCACTTTATCAATACTTCTCCAGACAACCCACAGATAGACCTGTCTAAAAGTTGTGTTACAATCCAAAACAAATCTCTATTCACTTTCCCCATACACAGCTTCCTGGTCTTTGCAACTGCAAACAGTTCTGCAATAAATACTTTTGTGTGTCTGCCCTTAGGATCTTGAATTTTCTACTACATTTTAATGTTGCCATACTAATTTCCAAAGGGTTGAGTGGTTCACATTTCCACCCACAAAGGGTAGGTGCCTGTTCACTGGGAGGGCTATGGAGAAAATTGCTTTTTGATCAGGTGCCTTCTTTTTAATTTGTGGTTCCTAAACCACTACACATTTGAGAAGTGTTCCTTCCATTGCTTACACTTGGTTTAATTCCTTAGCAGAGGTTCCCAACTCCATCCAGCTGAGGGCTCCATGTCTATTTAGAAGCTGGTCAGCCAGCCCTCAGGTGAACACTGGAGGAGGTTCTGCTGCCTCCCTTCCCACCTCTAGGGGAACCTGAAGCACAGGAAGCCCCCACCCCAGTGACACACTTAGGGGGGCTCTAAGCCCAGCCTTGGGCAGTAAATGGAACAGTCCTCAGTGCTTAGTGCTGACCACAGCTGCTGTCCCTGCACTGCACTGGGTGGCCTCAATGGGTGAAGGGCAGTGCACTAAGACCACCATTCAGCAAAATCCAGAATCAGACCTCTGTCCCTTTAAGCCCAGATCTATCTGGGAGCAGCCGGAAGCAGGGAAGAGGTGGTCCCAGCCCAGATTCCGGGGGAACAAAGGATCCCCTTAGGCTCCATGCTGAGGTCTTTCTTTCCGCCAAGCTAGCCTTCCATCTGACCTTCAGTGGCCTGGGGCTTGCCGGGTCAGCTCTCACTGCCATGTACAAACAGGGGGCCAAGGGTGACTTGATGGTAGAACTCTTGCTTAGCACATGGGTTTCATTCCCAGCACTGAAAGAAGCAGGGAAAAAAAAAAGTATAAATAGATATGGTTCCTCCCTCTCCTGCCATTCCCAGCCACCTGATTTCCCTCCCCTGGAGTCAACCAGTTTAGCCTGCTGCTGGACCTTTCCAGAGCTATTCTATGCCTTTCACACACACACACACACACACACACACGCGCGCGCGCTCACACACACGTGAAATGTTTTCCCTTTTGTACACAACTGAAAGCCTTCTGAACACACTGCTTTGCCCATTTTTTCTTTCTTTCTTTTTTTTTTT